TTTAATATTAATTTTGATGTTGATGTTCTAATTTTTTCTAACTTTTTTATTAATAATGTTTATATGATGATGATAATAAAATAACAACAAAAATAGTGTCTATTTTTCTACGTATTACATATATATATATATATATATATATAGAAAGAACAGTTTTGCTGAAATATTTAAATATTTAGTTACATACAGATTTAAAATAACTTTGTTGAAATATAAAAATAATTATATAGAATGTTTAAATTTAATTACTGGAATAAAAAAAATTCTGTAATATTATAATTATGTTTAAATATCTTACACAATTATTTTAATAGCTCAATAAAATTATTTTTAGATGTATTTAGTTAGATTTTTAAATATCTCAGTAAATTGTTTTTTTTATATATTTATATATAACTCCGTTCTTATATTTCTGCAGATTTGAATATTATTACATATCTATATCTATTATTACATACTATTTAAAGTACGTCATGTTTAATGTAAGATAAAATGTAATATAATATTAATATATCACAATTTATTATTTTTAATTTTTCACATTAAGATTATATTAATCATATTTGAGAAAAGGTCCAAAAAACAAAGTTACTCTAGTGTTGACCTAGTATAAGTTACGAGTAACTTACGATAAACAATTATACCTTCCTTGTCTTTTATGTTTATCTTGACATTTGTAGCGGTTGAAATATGGACAGGTTCTTTAATAGACTATTTTTACGACCAGTGTTTCGTAATACTTTTGACGTCAGCTCCTCATTATTATATCTTTACCATGTCGTTCTTATGATTCTTTAAAAATTTAACTGTTAAAAATTTAACTGTATACCTGAATATTTTAATAGACATACATACACATATGCACACGGAAAAAAAACAGTTTGACTAAAATATCTAAAAATTTGACCTGATGACAGTTCTGGAAGTAATTTTGTTAAAGTAATTAGATAGAAACATAAATAGAATAATAAATTACACTACTAAAATTATTAATATTCTATCAACCAATTTGTCCTACATAATTGTTTTTATATCCAATGAAATTATTTTTAGATTTAGGAAATTATTTATATCTGGCAAAATTTTTAAATACGTCGGCAAAATCATTCTTTTTGTACTATAAAAAGACATATGCAAAATTACTTGAGCCACAAGTATAAAACGACTTATAATGACACATATGCATGGCACATAGTTTTTATATATATATATTTACATGCATACCCACATACATTTTATTATGAATGTACACGTTACATATCACTCTTACACCGTATACAATGTACACAGTCTCTGATTTATTACATAACTTCGTCGTTTTTCTTTACGGGGAAGACGCGACCCTCTCTCCCTCTCTCCCTCTCTCTC